GGGCTAAGAGGCCAGATGATTCTCTATGACCCATTTTCTTCTGGGAGGCTGGCGCCTGTCCAGAACTGCACACCTCCCAGAAGCGACGGCATGCTTTCTGGCTTTGTACCTCTGTAAATGACTCTTTCCCAATTCAACTGATAATGACTCATGAGTCTAAAACCACAGTAGGAAATAAACTGGAGCCCATATGAAATTTAATTCAATAAACATTTGCGTATCTTTTTATAACCAGCATTATATTAGAAGCTAGCATATAAAGACAAATAGATTCAAAATCCAAGTGTTCAAGAAGCTCACACTGAAGAAGTATAAATACTCACATGGCAATTAATGAGACAGAGGCACAGCCAAGATGTTTAGAGACAAAGAGGAGGTCAGGCAAGGCTTTAGGATCCTGACACAAGGAAGGTAGCCTGGCTGCGCTGGGTCTTGAAAGGTTAAGCAGGACGTCACCAGGTACTAGTAGGGAAAAGTCATCTATATAGAAAAATCAGCATGGACACAGGTAGGGGGCAAGAAAACCAGGATGTGTTTAGAAAACACAGGACGCACCATGGGGTTGGGTGTATGATTTGAGCAGGTATAATTAATGACCTGAAATAAGGTTGGGAAGTGGGGCTGGGACCCAGCTGGAAAGGGCAATGTCTATCTGGACATCTGGGGTTAATGGAAGAATATCATTGCTACATTTCAACCAGGTAAACACAGTAACAGCTTATGTTTTAGAAAGTTCACTTAGGTGGCAGTGCAAAAGAGAGAAATGCAGGCAGAGGTGATAGTTAAGGATACCAAAGGAAGAAGGAGATGGGGTGGTATACTTAAGGGAAACAGGATTGAGAAAAGATTTAAGATAGAGGAGATTTGAACATGCTGTAGGCTGTCAGTCAGTTGCCATTGGAGATGGAGAGATTGGTGGTGCATGAGAGACTAGGGACAATGATGAAGATTTTTACCCATGCCTAGCCTCGCATGCTAGTTTCTTTCAAGTAACTATATGCAGTGTGTTAGCATTGATCGCTTCTTAAAAAACACATTAAATATTCAATTCCATTGCATAACAATACAAAGGATATAATGAAAAGATAGCAGAAGTCACTAGACAAATGCCTTTATCTCAAGGTAGAAGGAATGATGTGAACTAAAATAGCCTACCAAGAAAGGGTAAAATGATGGATGAGACTAGATCATATCACAGGATAGTCAAGTTCCCAGTAAACCAAACTGATGTGAAGGGTGGTGAGGCAGAGGGTCAGCAGAGAGAAAGGGAGAGAGCATAAAAACAAGACAGCACGCAGAAGAAAACAAGTCAGAGGAGAAGAAAGACGAGGGCAGAAGAGTCTATGTGTTTGTGGAAAGCAGAATAGCCATTTGGGAAGCTTCAACCAGCCCGCACATCCTACTGTCCCCTACCTCTCACCACTCCCACCCGAGGCGAAGGCTGTGCATGAGCTGAGGCTCAGGGCACAGGAGGCTCTCTGCAGCATCTCTGGGTCTCTTGTATCACCCCACAGTAAACCGGCCATCCATCTTTTCAACCCGGCTGACCACCAACCCATACTCATAAAGACATAAAGAGAGCTGTCCCCAGGAGGACCTGGCCCAGAGACCCTTGGACACACCCTGATTTCCCTTCACCTGCAATCACCTATTACGTCCTAAACAATGAATAAGGCAGTGCTTTGCTTCCTGACTCGAGGAGTGTTCACCGCTTCCCAAAGTGATAGACGGGGATGGCAGTGGGCAAAGCTCAACTTATGCTTTCTAGATTCCTCCATAAAATGTGTCCAGAGCCTAGCTCAGGCCTTCTCAAATTTTGCTAAATGCAAGTTCTGATTCAGCAACTGTAGGGTGGAGGCCAAGTTTATGAATTCCTAACAAGGTCCCAGGTGATATAAATGCTGCTAGTCTATGAGCCACACCTTGAGTAGCAAGGCTCTAGGAAATTCTCTTTGCTCCTCTCGTAGAGACTCTGCACCGAAATGTGGCAGGATGTCACTTCTGCTTTACTCTTAGACAAATACTGCCATGGAGCTGTCCTTGGCTCTGAGATCAGTTTCTCGATGAACTTGGCCTAAGTTTTCCTGACCACAGACAAACGAGTCTGGGCTTGGGGAAATCTGTAAGTACAATTTCCTCTTCTGTCTTACTGGCATAGAAAAGACAGGACTGGTGCTCCTGGGACTCACCCACATAGCACAGCAGAATAGATGAGCCCATAGAGAAATCAGATTTCCAAATGACTTTTGCTTATGACCTGATTTACGCCTCCACAAAGAGTGAGGGAAATGAGTTCCTTTCCCGATCTAGGCCCTACTTCCTTGCCAGATCATCTCTGTTTGGGGGCAAAGAAAAAAAAAAAAACAAATCAAAAACTTGAGGATTTGCGCAAGGTTTCACCTGACTAGGGAAACAGATGAAGGCAAAAGTTTTCTAGAATGTTTATATTTAGGTTCTGCCCAAGGGGAGCTCTTTTTATCACCTGAATATGTCACTTTAAGTTGAGAAACAGCAGGAGAGGAGAGACTGGCATTGAAAAATGCTCAAAACACGGCACGATGCTTCAGTTAGCTCTGGCACAATGGAGTCTTACAAAAAGGAAGTTTCCTTTTCAGTCCTGTCGTGTCAGTTTTGCTCAGTTCAACAAACACGCATTTGAGCGTCTATTCCCTAGCGGGGGCTGTGCTGGGTGCGGAGCACACGGCAGTTAGAAATGACTGCTGTCCTTGGGAAGCGCTCAGTACTACGCGGGAGACAGACACGTAGAGAGAGAATGTCTGGGCAGGGATGGAGTTAAGTGCATGATGTCTGAAGCACAGATGGGGCTTCCCCACCCAGCCCGGAGGCAGGAGGCATAAAGCAAGGAGGAGCTGAATCCATCACATCTGAGCTGAATCTAAAAGCTTGGGTAGCAATCAGGCAGGTGAAGAAGTTTTAGAAAGGTGCTGGTCTTAATGCTCATCATTGACTATTTCTGGTTCTTCTCTCTTCCAGGGGCCTAATATAGAGTAGCAGGTCCCTGTCCTCTTCCATTTAGGTGTGGCCACATGACATGCTTGAGCCAATGACATGTGAGTGAAAGTGACACATGTCACTTGTAGGTAGACGCTTTAAACGCCAGAATGCTGATTGACCTCAGTCCCTTCCCACTGCTACAAACAAGGTGGAAGCATATGTTAAAACGAAGCCCTTCCCCGTCAGTCTGGGTTCTTGAACGGACCGCAATGAGCAGAAACAAAGCTTTGTTGTTTAAAGCCATGAAATTCCAGACTTGCTACTGCAGCCTATGCTAGCCTGTCCTCACTGAGACGCAAGGGCATTCCAGGCAGAGAATTTTGTTTACAAAGTCTCAGAGATACGCAATACCTTTGATCTGGGAAGCGTAAATGGTTTATAGTACCAGAATATACAATGCAGAGTGAGGTAGATGGGCCTCCGGATGGCGCTTAACTTCTCTGGGTATCAGGATAACAGAGGCTTAATCAGGTGATTGAAGTAAAGGGCTGGCCAGATGAACTCGAGCTCCCTTTCAAACTAAAGACTTTGGTGTTTACAAAATTGAATGCAGGTTATGTATGATCACTTCCTCTGGGAAAGCCCAAAATTTCCAGACATGACTGGACTCTTACCTCTGGGAAGCTACCGCATTTTTTAAAGCCCATATTATAGTAGTAAATATTTTTATGAAGTGTTTATTTTTGTTATCTTTATGAGACGATGTTTCTTAATGACCGAAAATATTTCCGTTTTGTCTTCCCAAGGTACTGCACAATGCCTAGGAGGGTGATGTGTCTGTTGAATAAATTAAAACAGACAGCTGCTTTTGTGCGACATACCTTATGCACCTTCTCGGATTCTTCTGGCCTCCCCTGTCTCCTAGTGTATAGGTTGTGTTGTTCCACCCAAGCCACGCTTATAGCCAAGCGATTCCCTGTGAGACCATGTGGTTCCACTGCCTGAGGACAAACAGTGACAGTGTTCAGCTCCTACTGCCACTTCCAGACTGATGAGGGACACACTGCAGAGCTTTCCAAGTACCTGCTGAAAAGGCTAACAGAGATAGCTCAGAAGCAAATCTTTGGGGTAATTTTTTAAGACTGGAAGATTGGGGGAAGCCATCAGATAAATTCTCTTTCTCTCCCTAAAAGGGACTGTTTCCAAGAAGACTCTGTATGGAGGTGTCCTGCTTGGCTGAGCAGGTGATCCTGCTGAGTAATTGACTCAATCTCCTCCCGGTTCATTGTGACCTAGTGCCCAGGTGGTAACAATTCACCTTTTTTTTGTTTCCCATCCTCGTGCCTCAACTTTATCTTTCATTATTCTCACTGCCCTGAACTAAGGAGAAAAAAAAAAAAAGAAAGTATTAGCACATACTCTGCGGTGCAGACTTTGTTTTAGCCCAAAACATTGGGCTAAAACAGTTGGTTTCAAAAATGGTTCTAGAAAGCAGGCCCTCGATAAGATTTGGAGTTTGATTGCCCATATGCCAGAAATCAATAAGGACTGCAATGCTGGATTGTTAATAACCCCTGATATGCAATGACATCACAAATACTTAGGTTTTCACCCGTGGTTGATTGAGATGAGGTGCGTTTGAGGAGCAAAGTGTTGAGAGATCTAGTAATCGTGGTATTTCATCAGCATGAAGGCAATTTTATAATTATATGTATTTAGGAGTAGTGTGCCAGTTTTTGACTGCACTGGACTCCTTGCAAAAGAAAAGTATAGCCCCAGGGCATGTAATTGCACACTGTGAGTCTCTCTTTAGTGTCTTTAAAGGAGACTATTGGCTCCTAATGTTTCAAAGCAGACAGTGCTAAAAATCAGGCCCAGGATAGAATTATAAAGTGCCATTCCTGCAAAGTATACTTTTATATGTGTAGTGTGGACAGGCCTCTTATGTGAAAATCAGTGCCCTGATTGAGACATGAAATGGGGATATCTGTATGGGTGAACCTCAGAATGTTAAGCCCCCAAGTCCTTTTGCCTCTTCTCCATTTCCCAGAAAACTGCCCGCCTTGCCTGGACACCACGTAATGATCTCATCTGAAGGCAAGTGCCTTAAAAGATGATGCTTATTTTTGTCAGTATCTTTCCTATCCCCTCGCATTGCTTTCAGGCCAATAAACAGAGTAAGGAATCAGCACAGCCCAAGTGAGAAAGTATAAGCTCTGCTTTTGGAAAAAAAAATACTTTACATGCCAAGGGAATTATTTGATCTGGCTTATGTATACTGACAAGATCTAGGGGAACATGATGTGATAATGGATCCTGAGAGTGTTGGACGGGGAGAGGGATCAAGGACACAGAAGATACGTTGGATAGGGAAGAATTTATTGATATGGGGAATGTGCCATGATTTGAGATTTAGTGCTGTGGCAAGGATACCTGGAGCTTGTTCAATGTTCTGTAGATATGGATCTGGGGTATTGAACATGATGAAGATTTCCATAAAAATGAAGTTGAAGATGCCCAAATGTCCTTGGCATACTATTAAGGAATATATCAGAATACTTAAGGAAGTGGAATGCCATAAACTTAACCAAGCAGTAGTCTCAATTACAACCTCTAGCCCAGATATAGTATATTTACTAAGGAATTTCAGCATAGCCTTTGGTCCATAATCTACTGCTATGGATTTAGTGAATGCTTTCTTCTCCATACACATCAATAGAAAGAATCAAAAGCAATGCGTCATTACATTAAGAGGATATCGACATACGTTCACTGTTTTGCCCCAAGGTTATAATGACCTTGATCGACTTGACATTCTAAATAACATGACATTACTACATTAATGACATCATGTTAAGTGGATTGGATAAACTAGAAGTGGAATGTCTCCTAGCTGCCCTAGTAAGAAATATGCATGCCCCAAGTTGGGAGAGGGAAGAAAAGGAGATTTAGGATCCTGCCCCATCAGTGAAGGTTTCAGGGATCCAGTAGTTAAGGACATGCCAGGGCATTCATTCTAAAGTAAAAGGCAAGTTTGGCACCTCTCACTTTCTACTATTAAAAAAGAGGCACAATGCTGTGTCTCCTTTTGGATTTTCGGGGCACATATACTATACTTGGCAAAATTTCTACAATCCACTTATTGGTCAACTCAGAAGACTTCAGAGAGGGCCCAGAGCAAATGGGATTCTGCAGCAGGTCCAGGCTCTACAAGCTGCAGTTTCAGTGGTTTGGATAGATAATGTATGGATTTTCTTAAAAAGCCATAATAGAAGAACTGTGGACAGAGCAATAGGGTTCTGGAGTAGATCAAGCCTTCTGCAGCAAAGAACTACAATGTTTGAAAAATAGTTCCTGTAGGAATACTCATACACTGCTGGTGGGACTGAAAGATAGTACAACCTCTATGGAAAGTAGTATGGAGATTTCTTAAAGAACTAAAAGTAGAACTACCAATCTATCAAGCAATCCTACTACTGGGCATTTACCCAAAGGAAAAAAAGGCATTCTATCAAAAAGATACTTGCACTCAAATATTTATAGCAGCACAATTCACGAGCACTCGAATATTTATAGCAGCACAATTCACGACTGCAAAGAGGTCAAAACAACCCAAGTGCCCATCAATATATGAGTGGATTAATAAAACAGGTATATGTATAACACATAGTATTATTCAGCCATAAAAAAAATGGTGAACTAATACCTCTTGTATTAACCTGGATGGAAATGGAGATTGTTATTCTAAGTGAAGTATCACATGAATGGAAAAACAAACACCACATGTACTCACCATTAAATTGGAAATAATTGATCAACACTTATGTGCACATAGGGAAATAACATTTATCAGAAATCTGAAACAGCAACTCAAAGTACTATATTGCAAAGAAAGCAAAAACTAAAAAAAGGAAAAAAAAGAAAAAAAAAAAAAGAAATCAAGCAGGTGAGAGGATGGTGGAGGGGATGGGTAAATTCACACCTAATGGGTACAATGCACACTATCTGGGTAATGGACACACTTATAATTTTGACTCAAATGGTACAAAAGCAATTTATGTAACCAAAATGTTTGTACCCCCATAATATTCTGAAATTAAAAAAAGAAAAAGAAAAAGAGTCCCTGGTGTTTAAATGCTTTAAATCTAGCTTGCTTTCTGTTTTGGTAAAGTTTGATCGTAACTTAGCCATGTCTATTTAAGTATTTGCATACTTGCTGTGGCACTAAAATGGCAGAGTTGAATGGTTATGAAAGAGAATGCATGGCCCACAAACCCTAAAGTTTACCATCCAGCCCTTTACAGAAAAAGTTTCCTGACCCCAGACTTGGGATACAGTCTCTTGCTTGCCACAGAGCTACCAAAGGGCTGTGTGATACTATAGAAGGTGTATATGAAGTAATTCCTTGTAGGGACAACTTTGACCAATAAATAGGATACAGGAGATGGGAGAAAACAAGCAATTAACTTCTCTTCCCTTCCTCCCTACTCTGAAGCACACTCTATCTCAGCTTTTCCTTGGTCATAAGAGCTGCTTTAAAGTTTTTATCTGATAATTTTAACATCTGGGTCATCTCAGAGTTGTCATTTGTCTTTTACTTGAGAATAGGTCAGATTTTCCTGGTCCTCGGTATGTCTAGTAATTTTGGATTGACCTGGAAGTTTGGTATAATATGCTGTGAAACTCTGGGTCTTATTAAAATCCTCTAGAAAAAAATTGATTTTCTGTTTTTTGTTTTGTTTTAGCAGATAATGAACCTGTCTTGTCTTCTGTGGGCAAGGGTTGCAATGTCAGTTGAGTTTTCAAAGCATTTGCTACGCTGGTTGGATCTTCTTCTCACATGTGCCACAGAAGGGACAGGGACAGTGTCCCTTGGCCAGGGACAGTGGTTTATGTGGTAGCTCACTTCTCAAGGCTGTGTTTCTTTGGATGTGTTCTGCACATGCACGGCTTGGGGTGAACCTGGCCCTTGTATCAATTCATAGGTGAAGTTGGGGGATCTCTTTCTCCCATTCTCCCCTCTGCAGTATCTTTCCCATTATCTTTGGCTCCCCTGGGGGATCTTTTTCCACTTCTGTGGCTGGAAAGATGGGATTTCTCTTGAAGTTGTGGGCATCATCACTACTGTTCTCATGAACAAAGGAATAGGAAAAAAAAAAAGAGAGAAAGAAAGGTAACAGGAATGCCCTTTACACTCTTTGCACAACAGGGACCTATTTCCCTAATTCCTCTATTTACAGCGATGGATTTTATCTCAGGGTTTTTAGATGTTCCTGCTACTGTGGCAGTCAGTGCAACTCTATGACTGGTCTTGGGGCAGGACCAGTAGAGAAAAAAGAGAGGAAAAGAACAGCAAGGATTCTCCCCACACTTTGCGGCTTGCAATGGGCTCCTATTGCCAACTCTGTGTCTAGAAAGATGTGATGATATCGAAGCTTTTGTTATCTGTGTTTCCTGTTTGGTTTGCCCTCAGGTCAAAGCCCAGAGATAAAGGAAGAAAAAAGCAAGGTAACAACAACCAGAAAAACCCCAGGAAATTGTCATCACATCAGTTGTTCTTCAAGTTTTGACTTCTCTCTTCAATTCACCTGCTACTGTTTACTTTTCAGAGTCCTTTGCTGTTTTAAACTGTTGCTATTTTAATTTTGTCCAGAGTTTTAGTTCTAATCAGTCCAAGACAGGACTTATTCTACCTTGGCCATATCCAGAAGGACCTACTTAAAGTATCAGGTTATGTCTGTTCCCTTCCCTCCCCACCCCAAAGTCCTCCCTAAGTTTCTGGCCAGATCAACTAGAGGCTTCTTTGTTTTTAGGGGGAGAGATTACCCAGGTCATGGAGGACATTTGAGGAATGAAAAATGGACAGGAAGAGAATTAAATAGTCTCGTTCTAAGGAGTTCAACATGGAAATTTCTCCCTGTGGCCCTAGTATTTCCAGAAAGATTAGTGTCTGAATGAAAAATCAGTCAGGATACGAAACAGATGTTGGCAACAAAAATTCTATCGGCACAATGCTTTCGAAAGAACTAAGAGACTGATGAGAAGAAAGGATATTATAGGAGGGTAGCTCAGGTGAACCTGGGGTATGATATGCAATGAAATCTTTTAAATAAAGGCAGTTCCCTGCACTAAAATTGCTGCACAGCTGAGTGATCATTTACAAAGGCCTAAAAAGTAGATTCCCTCCCCTCAACCAGCAATGCCTCCTTTTAACAGCTTGAAATCTAAAATCATTGCTTGTTTTTCAGTTCCCTGCTTGAAGGAGGCCATGGCAAAGAGTTGGGTTTCCTTGCAGCCACCGTGCCACGGTCATGGGCATGCCTAGCTTTGGCCTTCTGTCTCACTGACACCTCCAGTGAAGTGCAAGGAGAGCCAGGCATTGGGGTAAAGAGGGCTGGGATGTGGTTTTTACTGTTGTGGGAGACTTGGGCCAGTCCTAGTCTTCTCATTGCCTAAGCCTTAGCTGCATTGCCTGGGAAGTGGGAATAAGGACACTCTCGTTGAAGAGTGGTGAGAATAAATAAGATAGTGTGTAAAACCGTTCCTCACTCCCGACCGATCTCTCCCTTCAGGCTCCAAAAGAGACTTGAATTATAGGTTATATTATCCAAAAGAGAAATTTATATCTTCAAATGTTAATTAAACTCTGCTTATAAAATACTGCATAGTAAACATTCTTAGATCTCCCTTATTGAACAGATAAGAATGATTAATGATCAACATGTATTATTTAATATAACTGTTTCAAAAATTTTGAAGTTCACTCTCTCAAGTAGATTAGCATTCTATGTCTCCCTTTTATGATATAAATTGTTGGCATGATAATCTTTTTTTTTCATAGAAAAAACTTGAAATTAATAGGAGTTGAATTAATTACATTTTATTTTCCTATTCTAAGTACTACTTTTACTTTGTGTTATTCAGTTTTTAAAGTAAAGTCATGACTTTTATACCACACACAGAGACCAACATCGTGCTTCGTACTTAATAAATGTTGATTAAATTAATGACCAATGACATGCTCTGAATTATGACTTTTTAGATTGAATAAAGAAGATCCACTTAACTCAATATTCAAATCAAGAGGGATAAAAAGGAGAGGCTAAAAAGTGTAGGTGAATTAATTTTGCATGTCTTTTAGATTTTGGTGACTTGGAAATTTGAAATTTCTAAGCGTAATTGTTAATGTGCATCAAGATATGATTTGATCACTGAGATTCCTCAGCTGCATTTATAAGCCTACTGTCTTCTAGCCCAGCAGCTCGAGACTGGATCTACAGTTTATGATTATTAGAGAAGTTTGGTATAAAGAAGGTGAATGGCTTCTGAAACAAGTCATTTATCACTATTTACACATTTTCGGTTTTCTTTCCTTTTTGATGGCACACTGTCAAGAAAGATGATTCTGGAACTTTGTTGAGAAGGCAGGGAGCATTTGCCAGCAATGAGGCCTATCATTAGGTAGGCAATACGGGAATTGGAGGAAGACACAGAAAAGGACATGAATATTCATTGAAGGCCTGCTC